GGGTGTAAATCTTTACGGGAGTAGAAAGCCTCATCTTTCTCCCACGGAGCGGCTGATAGTTTCGAACCGCTGACCTTAAGGTTCGCAGCCCGATTTGTAACCACTACGCTACCAGAGACATTAAAAATGTGGGTATGGTGTGAGACTGTCTGGGATTTAATGCTGGCAGTGATATTTGCAAGTCAGATGATTGGCCAGTTTGCTGATGTTTTAGACTAAGTTTCTCCTCTATAAAATGGAGACAGAAAATTTGCCATACAGTGATATGGGTAAGGAATATAAATAAATCCCAGGCTCAGCAGGTTCCAGGTTCTGGGAGGGACCCTAGGCATGTGCTTTACTTGTTGTTAAATGCCCTCAAGTGGGTTCTGACTCACAGTGACCCTGCATAGGATTTCTGAGGCTGTAAATGTTTACCGGAGCAGATTAAGTCCTGGCTCTGCAGGTTAATGCACTGGACTGCAAAGTCGGTTTGAACTGCAAGGTTGGTGGTTCAAGCTCACCAGTTGCTCCTTGGAAACCTTATACAGGGCTGCTATGGGTCAGAATCGATTTGGCAGCACTTAACAACAACAACATGTGTTGGAACCCACTCTTAAGAAAAAGTGTGTGTGTGTATATATATGTTGTTGTTGTTAAGTGCCGTCGAGTCGGTTCCGACCCATAGCGACCCTGTACAGGGTTTCCGAGGGTGTAAATCTTTACGGGAGTAGAAAGCCTCATCTTTCTCCCACGGAGCGGCTGGTAGTTTCGAACCGCTGACCTTAAGGTTCGCAGCCCGATTCGTAACCACTATGCTACCAGAGCTCCGTGTGTGTGTGTGTGTGTGTGTGTGTGTGTGTGTGTGTGTGTGTGTAGATAGATAGATAGATAGATAGATAGATAGATAGATAGATAGATAGTACGGTGGCTCCAGAAGATGAGGCCTGAGAATAATGGAAGAAAGCTCTTGTGAGGTAGATAAGGAATAATTTATTTCATGGGAGAAAAAGTTGTTTCCCAATTACAACTCCAAGTCTTATCATAGTAAAAGTAAGACAATTTGACTTTCATTTGAGTATATAGTTATGGCAGAGTAAATATTTGGTCTTTATGTTTTTGTTTTTAAGTGTATTTAGGAACGCTTGGTGGCACAATGGCTTAAACACTGAGCTGCTACCCTCAAGGTCAGAAGTTCAGCCTCGCCACACCCTAAGGAGAAGTTCTACTCTGTCCAGCAGGGTATGAACCGAAATCATCTGGATGGCAGTGAATTTGGCTTGGTTTTTTTTTGTTGTTGTTGTTGCTTTTTAACTTTTGTTTTTTAATTGAATAAAGTTATTTTATTTACATCTGTTTCAAATGATTGTTGTTAGGTACTAGAGAGTCGGTTCTGACTTCTAGCGACCTTATGCACAACGGAACAAAATGGGTCCTGCACCATCCTCACAATTGTTAAACTCGTTCAGCCCATTGCTACTCCCACTATGGCAATCCATCTCAGTGAGGATTTTCCTCTTTTTCTGCTGACCCTGTATGTTACCAAACATTATGTCTTTTTCCAGGAACTGGTCCCTCCTGATAACGTCCAATGTATGTGAGATGAAGCCTCATCATCCTGGCTGTTTTCCATTCAATCTTCACTTCCATTACAATTCACCTTGTGTCTATGTGGTAACGCTGGTGAGCATATTTGAGATTTGGGCCAAATAATTTAGTTGGAGATACATTATTTAGCTGTGGATTAATGACAATTTATGCAATTTGTAGGCTGGTATATAGTTCACTTTCTGTTAAGCTAATGAATGTGATTTCTAAGGTAACTAAACTGCTTATTGGGACAACTCAGAATCCTCACAAAATGAGATGTAATATATCCATACCCCCCACACCGGGAGCAAGTGTGTAATGCACAGGGGAATTAAGATTGAAATATAGAGCCAGGAGCTAACCTGTGAAATGTTTTTTTGAATGTTAGCACTCAATATATATTAGACCTTGACAATTTACTAAATAAAAATTTCAAATCGCAAAGGTACTCGGTATCACCCTTAATTGATATCAACCATGCTAAGATATAAAATAGCCTTTGCATTCTCTATGCACAAAATAATGATAGAATCTGAGTACACAAAAATAAAGATAAGGACTGTGTTAAACATGCTACATATCTAAATTTTGCAGTTTTGCAAAATTGGCATGGTACTTTCCTATGCTAAAGAAATCCATCTACAAAGCTTTGTCTTAGCAATTTAGTTTCAAAGGGTTATGAAATTTTAAAACTGGAAGCTCTGCAGCTGCAGGATAAACACTGGACGGCAAGATCAACGGTTCAAACTCACCAGTAGCTCCTCAGAACCCTAAACGGGGTCGTTATGAGACAGCAAACTTTGGATGGCGTTGTAGGATAAGCGTTTAACAAGCAGACGCTCTGCAGTTACCATCTATGCAGATATTGCATAGGCAACAGGGATCTTTTTGGTTTCCATTAAAAGCTAGAAATACAACTGCTTTTAAGTGAAATCGTGGGTGGCTCTGAAAAGAGCCTTTTGATTACAGAAGATAAGTCTCTTAAGCCCTCTCGCCACGGATACGGCGGGCCAGTTGGATATCCTTGGGCATAATGGTGACACGCTTGGCGTGGATGGCACACAGGTTGGTGTCCTCGAAAAGCCCAACCAGGTAGGCCTCGCACGCCTCCTGCAGTGCCATCACGGCCGAGCTCTGGAAGCGTAGGTCGGTCTTGAAATCCTGTGCAATCTCGCGCACCAGCCGCTGGAAAGGTAGCTTGCGGATAAGCAGCTCGGTGGACTTCTGGTAGCGCCGGATTTCGCGCAGCGCCACAGTGCCGGGTCGGTAGCGATGTGGCTTCTTCACGCCGCCGGTTGCGGGTGCGCTTTTACGGGCTGCCTTAGTGGCTAGCTGCTTACGCGGCGCCTTGCCGCCGGTGGACTTGCGAGCGGTCTGCTTCGTACGAGCCATAGTGCCTGGAAGTGTAGACTAACCAAGTCTGTAGCAAGACGTTGGTAACGCTGCCTTTAAATATAGTATGAAGCACTCTGATTGGCTTCGGAAAATTTCAAAAGTCCCGCGCGATAAAATCATTGGCTAATTACTGGCTCACGATTGGTTAATAAGTAATGTCTTTGATTGGGTGAACTACTCCACCTCAATGAAGTCCTGCTGTAGGATAAGCACTGGACCGCTGTGGGTTAATGCACTGGACTGCAAAGTCGATTTGAATTTCAAGGACGGCGTTTTAAGCTCACCAACTGCTCCTCGGAAACCCTCTACAGGGTCGCTATGGGTCGGAACTGACTCGATGGCACTAAGGGCAACCACAAGGTCGGCAGTTCAAACCCACCAGTTGCTCCTTGGAAACCCTATACAGGATCTCTATGAGTCGGAACCAACTCAATGGCACTTAAATCTCTGTAATGTTCTAGTTCAACTGGTCTACACAAATGCTGTGTGCATAACGAACCTTTTAAGAATTTTGTAAAAATGTAAATTCCATAAAGTTTGACTGGAGTCCTGGTGTGGCGTTGTGGATTAATGCGCCAGACTGCAAAGTCGTTTGAACTGCAAGGTTGGTGGTTCAAGCTCTCCAGCTGCTCCTCGGAAACCCTATACAGGGTCGCAATGGGTCGGAACCGACTCTATGGCACTTAACAATAACAAAGTTTGACTGGCGCCTGAAATTCTGAATCTTGACAGAACACCCTTTCAAAGGTTTTATCAGTGCTGGTAATCCTCAATCATTAAACCATTAGTCCATTTTAAACTAAGCCACGAGTAGCCTGGACTGCCGCTTTTAATTCCCCTTTTGCGAGTTACATAATTAAGGTACCTGCGGTGGAACAGCTTGGCAAATTAGTAAAAGCGACTGGTTTTCAAGGATGCCTGATACAGATTCACACGCAATGGTTTATTAGCTAGTAATGATCCTTGCTCTTGTTCTCAGATCTGGGTCTAACGTTCCCCTTATGTCTTCTCGGGGCCCTAATTTCTATACTTCCACTATCATGGGTATTTGCTAATTTTCTCTGAAACCCTTCAAATAAATGTCTGTCAGTTACAGTACACTAGGTCAGTTACCATCCATGTACAGGGCTTCCGAGAACGGCTGGCTTGAGTTCACATGGACCAGTCTGTACTACTTAAGGCTAGCAAAGGTAAAATAAAAGTTTAAATAAAAATGAGCAACAGCTTCCAATTGTGAATACATGGATGGCTCTGAAAAGAGCCTTTGCATTGAGAAAAAGTGGGTATGCTTGTATTAATGCGGGCTTCACTTGCCCTTGGCCTTGTGGTGACTCTCGGTCTTCTTGGGCAATAACACGGCCTGGATGTTGGGGAGAACACCGCCCTGCGCAATAGTCACACGACCCAACAGCTTATTAAGCTCTTCGTCGTTGCGGATGGCCAACTGCAGGTGGCGCGGGATGATGCGCGTCTTCTTGTTGTCTCGGGCAGCGTTACCCGCCAGCTCCAGAATCTCAGCCGTCAGGTACTCCAGCACCGCCGCCAGGTATACGGGAGCGCCAGCCCCAACCCGCTCAGAATAGTTACCCTTGCGAAGTAAACGATGCACACGACCCACGGGAAACTGCAGTCCGGCGCGAGAAGACCGAGTCTTTGCCTTGGCACGCGCTTTACCGCCCTGCTTTCCGCGTCCAGACATGATGAGTTTACAAGAAATAGGAAGTGGGAAAATACCAAACAAAATGAGAAGACTGGTGCAAAGAAAGGTTTTTATAGACAGTGTAGGGCTCTGACTACAAGGTATCCCATTGGTTAGAATGGATTGGGTCGTTTTGTCCAATAGAAAAAGAAGTTGTGTATCTCTTATTTGCATAAACACTCCCTTTAAGAAAGTGTTGTGTTAGCCAATCAGAGGTGAGAGTTCGTAAACCGTTATTTGAATTACAGAGCTATAAATAAAGGGCTCCGGGATTGGCACCATCTAATTCTGCTGTGTTTCTACTTATTTTCAGAGAAACCATGCCTGAACCTTCTAAATCTGCTCCTGCTCCAAAGAAGGGGTCGAAGAAAGCCATAACCAAGGCGCAGAAAAAGGATGGCAAGAAGCGCAAGCGCAGCCGAAAGGAAAGCTATTCTATCTATGTGTACAAGGTGCTGAAGCAGGTCCACCCCGATACCGGCATCTCATCCAAGGCCATGGGTATCATGAATTCTTTTGTGAACGACATCTTTGAACGCATTGCCGGGGAGGCTTCTCGTTTGGCACATTATAACAAGCGCTCTACCATCACCTCCCGGGAGATCCAAACCGCCGTGCGCCTGCTACTGCCTGGAGAGCTGGCCAAGCATGCTGTGTCCGAAGGTACTAAGGCCGTCACCAAGTACACCAGCTCCAAATAAACATTCCTTCTGAAGTTTTTGCTAATCCAAAGGCTCTTTTCAGAGCCACTCAATTTTTCTCGAGAGAACTTGTAACTACAGTAACCTTAAGAGAGGAGAAATGGGGTATGAGGAGTTAATTTGCTGCTACAGCCGCTGTTTCACACTTTAGTTCTGTACGTACTTCTTTTTTGTTGTTGTTGTTGTTGTTGTACCTCACCTACTATTGAGAAAACTCAATGCTCCCCTTCTAGATCCTGATCTGGAGTCCTGATGCGGTGTTGTGGCTGCGCTGGACTGTGAATTCGGTATCACAGGTCCCCAATGATAGAGCCACAAGGTCAGCTGTTAAACCCTATGCAGGATTGTTCTCAGTCGGAACCGACTGGACAGCACTTAACAAGGTCGCCAGTAGTTTAAAATAGTGAATGGAGCGGTTAAATGATTAAATCCTGAGGTTATCACGAGGAGGTGACCGGAGCAAGAAGTGGGTGTGGGGTCGTTTTTACCTTGATTATGAACTCAAAATGTATTTGGATTCGACAAACGTAAGGGAATACTCGGGTGGCTTCCCTGGGTGCCTCTAAGGTCTACTAGACCTCCCTTTCTAAAGCCGTCTAAATTTTACTACATACAAGAAATCCGCAGTCATTTTATGTGTCGTCGGGTCGGTTCCGGCCCATAGCGACCCTCTATAGGATTTCCGAGGAGGGGCTGGTGAGCTTCAACCACCAACTTTGCCGTTCAAACCGACTTTGCAGTTCAATTCATTAACCCACAGCGCCACACTAGGACTCCAGATTAGGAGTTTGTGTCACCATATTGGGGCGGGGGAGCGAAGAAGGAAGGTGGACGCGATGGCTAAAGCTCTGGGAGGACAAAAGGTTTGAATTTCCCTCCGTTTTCCATCTGGCGCCACCTGGTGACTAACGCGGAGGATCTTTCAGAGGCGACTGCTGGATTTTCTTGAAAAGCGGTTTTGGAAAAATCTGGGACTCCAAAAGGACAATCCTAAGAAAAAGCCGCGAAGAACACTGGGTGAGGAAGTGGAGTCAGTAGGCACATCTGGGTGCGGGTTGTAGGGGACTGACTAAAAGAGACAACTATCTTTAAAAGGAAAATATCTGTAGATCGTTTATGCGCTTCATGGGTAGGAGATAGATACACAGCAGTATCTGAGAAAAGTAAAAATTAAAACTGCTTATGCAGGACCTCTTTTAAAGGAAAATAAGAATGATCTTTTCTGGAGTGGCACTGTAGGATAAACACTGGACTGCTAACCGCAAGGTTGGCGATTGAAACCTGCTAGCTGCTCCTTGAAAATCCTATACAGAGCCACTGTGAATCAGAACAGACTTGACAGCACTTAACAACAGGATCTCAGATAAATCAGTGTGATATAAGAAGCATTTCCTACCACCGTGTATATAAAATATTACAAAAGACATGTTTGCCTTGAAAATGAATAATGCATTTTTAAAATGTTATAATGATTGGACCCCTAGTGTGGCACTGTATGGTCAGCACTGGACTGAAAACTACAAGGTCAGCAGCTCAAAACCCATCAGCTGCTCTTCTGAAATCCTACAGAGAGAGTCCTATGAGTCGAAACCAATTCCAGGGCACTTAACAAGAACAACAATCACAACCACCCATCCTCTTAAACACTAGTGGATACTGCCCTTGGGGTTCTTCCTCTGGAAGAGTGAGACCTAGGTAGAATATTATTTCTTAACATCTGTTGGTGGAATTATAATTAAAAACAAAATCTACTCCCAACCCAGAAAGTGTCTCCGTAACATATAAGAGAAAGAATACAACTGTATTCTTCAATAAGAATTAAACCAGAATGTGATGCATCACAAGCAATGAGCTTTAAAGATTACAGAGAGGAAGAAACTTCAGCCTTCTATGTATCTAAGTGGATACAACCCATTACATACATGCTCTCAAGATAATCAATGACAAAAATTCTCATATCAAACCCTTATACAGGAGCCAAAACCAGCTAGACAGTACTTAACAACAATGAATGGAGGCAAGCTTGCAGTTTGGAGCATTCATCTTCTAGGAAATTGGGAGATAGGGACACAGTCTTTGTTGATGTTTATATTCCAAAGAAATGGCTCTGCAACAACAACAAAATACATAAACTGTATGAAAAAGAAAATCCTATGTTACATAGGATTGAACAGTTGAAATCAGCAACAGTTAAATGACTCTCAGTTCTTTAGGAAATATTCCTGCATTTTGAAATTGACAAAAGGTTTATTTAGCATTTGATTTTCCACTGCTCCAAATTAATCTCTTGAGTAGGGATTACTTCCTCCTCAATTTGTCCTTCCTAACTTTTGTCTGCTGAATTTTTGTTCATTTTTACTTTTTTCCCTCTTCTTTCAACTAAAAAAATGAGAATATTTGAAGTTTAATTAAAAACACAATACCTTTATTTGAGCAGCCCAAACTAAATCCTAGGGCTGACCCCAAAGGTAGGCCTTTCATTTCTTCTCATAGTTGTAGGATCTTTACATATTAAAAGAAAAAAGGGAAATATCAGATATCTGGGTTGGTTCTCTGTAGGCCCTAGTTCTATAAAGGGGAGACATGAGAAGCTAGAAATTTTCATATATAAAAATGTCTGTTGATTCTGATGAGGCTCCAACTCTGGACACAGCAATAACAATGGACAAGTTCATCAACTTGAGTGACATACTTGTTAAGTGCCATCAAGTAGGTTCAAACTCATAGGGACCCTATACAGGGTTTCCAAAGAGCAGCTGGTGGGAGTGAAATACTAGACAGGTTTATATACTACTTTCCCCAATAAATTTGTTGTTGTTGTTAAGTGCCAATGAGTTGGTTCTGACTGTTAGCCACCCTCTCTATAGGGTTCCCCAGGAACAGCTGGTGGGTTTGAACTGCCGACCTTGTGATTCACAATCCTATGCTGATTCTACAGTGCAACACCAGGAGTCCACCCACATTTTCTCCTGATCTGCAGTCTGAAGGTGTATAGGTATGTCCACAATAGACAGCAAAAGGCCATGAACAGGCTTTATCAGCACATAGAAATACTCACATAGGGAAGAGACAGCAAGATCAACTTCACTAGTGAGCACCAGTCTCCCGTGGCCGGTGCAAAGCTTGTGTTCTTCCTTCACCCTCTTGTGCCATAGTAGAAGATCCCTCTTTCGTCCACTGGTAACAGATAGAGGTGGGGCTGACCAGCTGCCATATGGTGTTAGCACATGTACAAGGGACAGGGAAAGTTATTGTGTTCTCAGATCTGGGGAAAGGAGTCTCTGATAAGAAGGAACTGATAGAGAGAGGGGACCCAATTCCCAGTCTCCTTTTCAGAGAATGTTCCAGGCCCAAAGCCTTTATTTAACTTGTATAGAAGGCAGAGAGAAAAACCATTCTCCCAAAACAGGGTTACTGCCCCACCCCTAACCCCCAAAAAGAGCGTGAGAGAAATAACCTATACTTCATGCCTTGTTCTTTTGATTACAAAAAGTTTTGTCTACCAACCCATCCAAGAGGTTCTGGAGTAAGGAAGAGCTGAATTTGTAAAGAGAAGGAAAAGATGAGATGCCCTTGGCTAAGCTGTGGGTGTCTGGACCCAGCTGAAAGGGACTTGGGGAAAATTTTATTTGAAAGGAGCGTGATAGAATTAGGATAAGAAGAAAACCCAAATAGATACAAATGGCAGGAGGCTGAGACTGTTTATGACAGAAAAAGGAGTAGGGGTTGATAAGGAACATTCTGGCTCATGCTTCATGGCAGATGAAAAGACATAGACTGTTCTCAATTCTGTTTTCAGCATCTCTTAGAAACATTTGATGTATTCATCCTTACTTTTCATTCCCAAGAAATGACATCTACATCTAAAAGTTGTTTTTTTTTTTAACTTCCTAGAAAAAATAATATTTACTTATTAAAAGAAGAAGAAGAAGAAACACTAAAAATAATTCTAAATAAATAAAAGAAAATCCATGTATATTCTACCATCCAGGACATTATGTCTCCTCCCATTGGCCTTTTCGTACTGCCACATTCTCTAGCCTGTGATCAGGGAATGTATGAGGTACAAAGAAAACAGAATTCTCCATGCTGTTTTCTTAAGGTTCCTGTTGTTGTTGTCAGGTGCCATCGAGTCGGCACCGACTCATAGCGACCTTATGTACAGCAGAACGAAACACTGCCTGATCCTGGGCCAACCTCACTGCTGTTGCCACACTTGAGACCATCAATGCTACCACTTGGCCAATCCATCTCGTTTTCTGACCCTCCACCTTACCAAACATGATACCCTTCTCCAGCGACTGGTCCCTCCTGACAATATGTCAGACAATATGAGAGACAAAGTTTGGCCATCTTGGCCTCCAAGGAGCACTCTGGCTGTACTTCTTCTAAAATGGATCTAATGGTTCTTTTGGCAGCCCATGGCACTTTTAATATTCTCCCCCAACAACATAACTCAAAAGCATCGATTCTTCTATGGCCTTCCTTATTTACTGTCCAGACTAAGACAGACTAGGAAGAAGGCAGACCACTTTTGAAAGGTTACTTTTAAAAGCCAGTTATAGTGCTAGGAAAGAAGTTCCTCAGGTTGGAAGGCACTCAAAACATCACTGCAGAAGACCTGCCTCCTCAAAGTAGAGTTGATTTTAATGACGTAAATGGAATACAACTTTGAGGACCTTGATTTGTTGATGGGGCACAACTCAAAATGGGAAGAAATAACTGGAAGTATCCTTTGTAGGACCAAGAAAAAGACTCCATTCTGCACATTACCCTGAACACGTCCTCCTGTTCCAGGAACGTGCTAAATCAGCTTATGCTGCCTTAGAATATCCTTTCACCCCTAGCAACAGCAAGAACTAGATAAGCAGTAGACCGGACAACCCAAGGCCAGATGCCAGATGTTTTCCTTATCCTAGCCTAAGAACAAAAGACCACCAGTACTGACCAATTAAACTGTAACATCTCATACTTTGCCAAATGTCAACCAATCCAAATAT